TGGCATAGTGCAGTGTATTCAGTCTTTTAGTGTGAAATAGGAAAAGTAAGGACTTCAATGCGTTTGGAGGGATACAGTGAGAAGGTCTCCATCTGGCTGAAGGCACGATGAGGGCAGCAGTTGGGAAAAATATTTTAGATTTGCATCAGAATGAGAATATAAATGACTTTATATGTATGTCATTCGACCTCTCACATCCACTTGAAGGAGAACTGACTTTGAAAATGGAAAAATGAGATGTGCACTCATACAGCCTGTTCAATTATTCTACCCCTTTCTCATTATCTCCATGTGTGTTTGATCTTGACCAATGTTAGCAGGTCTTTTTTGAGTTTCCATTTCACTTCAGTCTGTACGGGTACATTGATATTCAACACTTTGCTTAACAAGCACTACAATTTGATCAATGGACACTATGAGGATTTAAGCAGATTTGATTTAAAAACGTTTCCTACAGATTTCAGAAAATGTGAAATGTGTCAATAACATTTCATATCAATCGAAGATAAAGCTTTAAAGTAATTTTCTGCAATTTTCTTGGGACATTTTAAAGGAACCTACAGATTTGTGATACTGGAATATTATTAGGTTTTCATGATTATTTTTAAATAACATCCAACAAAATGTGAATCCCAGAAATATGTGATAGTAAAACAATAAATGAAGAATTGTCCATACTGAAGAGTTAGAGGCTCATACCGTATATGCAGACGTTTATAGTCTCATGATTTACCCCAAAAGACCAAATTCCACAATTCCCATAATGCAACTCAATCTCCTAACCTCCATGACCCAATTTATGATTCAGGCCGTCATTAAAAAGTGTTGCATTTAATAAGTTTTAGGACGTTAAACAATGGTTAACAAGCTAATTAGTAGTAATGACGAGTGAACCGTTGCTCATGCGAAAATCAGAGACAAATGCGCAGAAGAGGGCTTCTCCATCTTAAGTTTAAATCATTTAGCATCTTAGCACACAACAGAAAATATGTTTTTCAACCTGGTTATACAAGACTATTATCTGTATCCATTCAGCTCCACTAACAGTATTTAGTAACCTTGAAGCATACAAGTGGAATACCTTGTCCTAGTTTTTGTGGAGTGAGGACTGTGTTTACAGAGGTTGTATTATATTATAATGCCATTTAGAAAGGTACACAAGTGTGCACTAGCTCCAGAGTCTGAATATGCCCTTCAAATACAGGATACCATTATCTAATGCATTAAAGTATCACTAATGTGTTTATTGACATCTCATTTTGACCTATAGGGACATTTGTGCATGAGTCACACGTAGAAAGACTTTAATTTAAATGATAGTCCTTTCCCTTTTTGCACTCGGTTAGATATGTAGTTCCTTCTCATTCTTGTTGAGGTACATCTATGGTAATATAATAGTCACAGGGGCATGATAATTAAATGTTCATAGCCAATCTTTCTGCAGACCTGGGAACTGCAAAGCACTTACGGGAGAGGAGGGTAATGAAATCAGGTGGATGGATGGGAATATTGCCTGACTGGAATGCTCCTGTGCCCCACAGTCCTGCTGAGTGATCGCCCAGTAAAAAATGGAGTCAGCAATACGTCCAGTGATTTAAATCAAATGCCTAAAGATCAACCACCAGGCTTAAGGGGGAAGAAGCCACAAGAAACGACACCCTGCTGGGTCGTTACGGTGATGGCTGGTTAGTCGACAGACAAACCTAGGCGTCTCATTTGTCAGCTTTCGAACGGCAGGCTTTTGCTGGGTGGCTGGTTTATTGGCGGACAAAGTAATGATCAGCGTTACAGGACTCAGTGGTCATTTGTTTGCTGGTTCATTAGCTTGACCAGCTGACAGGGTTTGTTGTTTTGGCTGAGGCAACCTCCCGACTGTTTTTCCCTGAACAGCCCAAGGCTTTTTTCATTTTCCAAACACACCTGAGATTCACTCGTCAGTATCCACTTTTCATCCTACCGACATGCTGTTAAGCTCAACAGCAAAACACAATGTTCCTCATTCTGATGACGTTAGCCATTCATCAAGCTGTGAAATAGCCTGAGGAAACTGCCGCTCTTTGACAGTGCGAAGTTTCAAGCTCAAAGCCAATTGGATTTGTCATGCTTCGAAACATACAATCTCTTACATTTTCCATTTAGGGTTTCATAAAGGATTACTTTTTCAATTTTTCAAACATGCTACGAACAGTAAAGAGCCTGTGGTTTAGGTTATGACTTGAAAAAATCCATAAGCGGCGTCAAAGATACAACGAGAATCTAGCCTTTGGCGATATCCTTGGAGCCTTCAGAGCGTAACAGCAATGTACAGTATGAAGCAGATTAGTACAAGGTCCTATATTTTCTCCATTGAGTAGTAAGCACATTTCCTTTAAGTACAGATACAGAGCTGAAGAGCATTATCTAGTATATGCCTGTGGCAGATACTCAGTAAACACGAGTTCCAGGATGTACAACACATGCACTTTTAATCGTTGATATCATATCACATCTTAATATGTGCAGAATAACTGTATTTAACTGCATCGCTATGAGATCATTAAATGAGTTCAATGTACAGAAAATCTTTAAGTTAGCAGGTGATCCCATAAACAGCATGTTGCAGAGGGGAAATAAATGAGCCGCAGTATTACATTTCTGTAAAACATTTTTTAAATGCGAAATATTTCTAACTCTTCTGATAAAGACCCTTATCATTCTCCATAAAAATGAATGAGAATTCCTCGCCATTTAACTTATATTTGGGTGAATAGCTTTCCGTACAGACAAGGGCATCCTCACAACATGACGTCTGAACGAGCGCTCCTTCTCCGCAGAGAGAGGGGACATTCAACTCTGCTTGATATTAATCGCTATGACAGGAATAATCATGCTGCCAACTCCAATAACATAATGCCTGGCTCCCTGACAGCCCTGTACATGACAGGATAGAGTTTAGTGCATGTGTGCAGACATGCATGACGCAAACACGCCCACGCCCTCTACAAACCGCACTGATGACGTTTTCTCACACAGACACCAGTGCAAACTACACATGCATGCTTACACGTTGACACCGCAGCGACCTGGCAACCTGTCTGGGATTGATAATGGTCACACAACACATGTTAGACAGCTCCAACTTTGCTTCATTTTGGGAAATCATTTTATTTTAGAAAGCAGCAAAGCTTACTTCTTTGCAATCAATGCATCCCGGTGTGAAATCATAAAAACACCTGAAACAGCTTTCAGTCCTTTCCATTACCTCATTCACTTCGCCTCGACACCGGGTAATACATACAGTACGTAGTGCCATATGTCAAGGGAGTGGCCTCTTGCTGAGCGAGGGGGCAGGATCGGACTCTCAATGAAACACACTTGCTATAAAACGAGCATTACAAAACTGAGAATAATACTTTAAAATGTAGAATAGGGAGGAGCAAAGGACGGCAGATGACTCACTTTTTAAAACATACAATTAAAAGTTTGTAGGGTCTTATGTAGAATGTATTTGTTATAATATACCTTATGCAGTCTAGCATTGTGCAGAAAATACATAATTTAAAATATGCCCTTTGAATCTACATTTTGGTTCCCTCAGCCCTTGACCTGTCAATCTTACAGAAGTCCACTTTTTCAATTGTCACTTACATGGAGGACATTAATCTTTGCTCACACATTTAGGTGTACTAGTTCCAGTGCCCTGCATGCTGGCTTACTGGAATACGCGGGAGTTAACCCTTTATAGGGCACTATTAGGTTAACCCTAACCCGTTTCAGGAATCTGCTGATTGGTCAAATTCCCCAATGGCGTGCTCAGTGGCGTAGAGTGATCTTCGCTGATTGGCAGGGAGAAAACCACATGCTTCTCGATCTCACTGAGTCGCGGGGGGGGCGCCATGTTTGGTGTGTGCGGAAGTTACGAAATATGGTTCCTCGTCAGATAAAGGGTTAAAGGGCCCTATTATGTTGCATGTAAATGGTCTGCAAATGACAACATCCCAAAACTCCCTCCAGAGCACCTGCTCCCCATGCCTGAAACGCTTCCATTGTACTCCTTTGTTTACTTCCTCAGCATAATGACATCACTAAGTAACACTCCCGCTTCTATTGGCTAGCGCCCAAACACATTATACGTGATAAGCGTAGGGGCGGGAAATGTTCGAGCGGTTGACGAATCACAACAGAGCCGGCCAGCTAACCAATCAGAGCAGCCTGCTCTCATGTTTCTGAAAGAGGGTCAAAAGAGGTGCTGCATCAAAGGCAGTGCATGGAAACATGTCAGAGTAGAAGCACAAAATACAAACCAATAATGTACGAACCTGAAAATGAGCATATAGAGACCCTTTAAAATAGAAGAGAGCTGTCTTTAATGTTATGTGTCACAGCTGTGCTTTTACTGCATTTACAATTTAAGTTCCTGCTTTGACATTTTAATCCTCTTCCAGATAAAGTTACCTACACTGAGCCGACTCAGCACTTTGTGGCTGAAATATGGCATATTAGTAGGGCTGCTCGATTATGGCAAAAATCATAATCTCGATTATTTGGGTCAATAATTGTAATTGCGATTATTAAATGCGATTATTCATTGACTTTGAAAACATCCATTTATTGGAGAATTTTTTTTTAACGGTATGTTTTTAACATTTGATTACCCTGAACTTTAAGTATAATTCAACTGAAAAACTGAAAAAAAAAAAAAAAAAAAAATATAATCGTTTTATTTCGATTATGTTGTTTTCATAATCGTTGCAAGCCATAATCGTAATCGCAATTACAATATGATTAATTGAGCAGCCCTACATATTAGGCAGTCGCTTTACAACAATCATATGGGGTTAAATTAAGAAGTGATTGATGGGGAAAAGCTCCAGCTTAAAATGGATGGTCCGCCCTGGGAGGACAACCTCACAAATCATTTTTATTGTTTGTTATTTGTACTACTGAGTGTGCAGTGAGGACAGCTGTGTTGTGTTTCAGGAAGATGTACTTGTACTGAATGAAAGAAGAGCAGACTACAATGTAGATGATACTTTATTCAGATGCAAGAAAAAAGGCATTCAGTGAGATTCAGAGATACATTTATTCCATAGACAATGCACTGATTAACAGTTAGATTGTGTGTGTTGTTTTACATAGTGTTGTACATATAGAATAAATTGTCTTTTTCACATTAACATACAATAAATGCCATTTTAAGACAAGTTATGATAGATACACAAGCCATGTTAACAAGTACATGATAAAAAAGAGTTTAATAGTGGTGTCTGTACAGATCAAGGAAAGCATCTAATACATTTTATTTAAATGAATCTTCAAGAATATATCCTTCATGGGGGATGCGTGTTTTAATAGTACAAATGTGTTTTTCTTCTGGAAAATGTATATTCATTTCTTCATCACTTGATGAATAAATACCATTTATTTAGGATGAGGTTATGCTGCACCTTTCAAACTTGTGCTCGACTTCAAACAGATGTAGATGTTTAAAATAAATCTCATATGGTATCAGCTGTAGTTAGCTAGTTAATGTTAAACAATGGGCTGGTTAAAAACCTCAATTTTAATACAAGAAACCTGTAAAAGGGGACCTGAATGTAAAATATTGGCTACATCATGATAATATACTGAAAGATAGAAGCTGAAACTGTATGTCTTCTGGAAAAATATTCTGCGTATGTTTACTTTTTAAACCTATGCTACATATTTCATCCTTCTTAACTTTTATTCTGGAACTCATTCAATAACATTACTAGGTGACAAATGTACATTTTGTCGCACTTAAACATTCAATACAAGACTCAGCTGCTGTTTTGTAATATACCAATCTCTAACAGTTAGGCCACATGGGTTTTAACAGTTTCTCCTTTGTTGTGGCTTGATGACTGAAAATAATTATGTTTTTTTGTTTTTTATTCACTGAAAGCAGCAATACCAAATATAGACCTGTATGTACAGAAAGACATCCTCTCATAGGTTTTCAGTCAAAATGACTTGAAGATTTACACACGTTTTCTGATATACATTTCTTCAGTAACATGGCTGATTCAATATGACAAAATGTACATTTAAAAGCACAGCAACTTTCTCGTCCACCATGATCATCACAAGATCCTTTCTTTGCAACCTCATGATGTCATGTTTATAAAAAAAGTAACATAATACTAGTATGTTACACGGGAGATAAGTGAAATACAATCAAGTTCATCTTCATTAAAAAAATACTAGCACACAGAATATCGAGTAGAGCTACTGTAAAGGCAACAGGCAAGAGAAGCATACAGCACAACACGTAAGCACAAGCAATTTCAAATATTACGGCGAATGTACAATCCTGCTTGGCTCACTTATTAACTTCTTTAGTGGGGAGATGACTCCATTAAACCCAAAGCTGTAGTTAATGATACACTAGTGGTACCATGTGTTCGCAATTATGCTGCAGCAGCTCTGTGCTGTGCAAACAGGCTTAATGCATCGTCTTTGCTGGTTTGGAGGATCTATAGTTCAGGACGCAGCGTGATAAACACAGCTGTTTTCTTTCATTCTGTACATTCAGAGGTTAGTACAGTTCAGCAGAAAGAGCTCTGCTTATGGATAAGTCCAGAAAAAGGGTATAACACTTCTTTACAGGGACTCTATCAAAATAGAAGAATGAAAGAATGAACACTGAGGGGGGCTTGATGGACAACACAAGGTTAGCTGCGTCGAGAGGAGGGAGCACAGTTTCATGTCAACATGGTCGATCTTCCTGAAGTGGCCAAAGCCAGCGTCTTACTGTGCAGATCAATGAATGGAGAACAGCGTCAATAGGGTGGAAGCCATACAGAAGGGATGGAAAGAACAGCTGGTGGAGTAAATGAACTGAAAAATACCTCCTGACTGGTGATGTATTTTTGTGGTGAGAGATCCGTGAAGCCTTTGAGCTTTTGATAACACAAGTCCAAAACTGGATTAGATCCATTATTGTCCAGTGACTCCCATAAATCCACATTTACACTCTCAAACGTACTAACAATTCAAGGAGAAAACATCCGGAGAAAAGAATGACAGATTGGAGGGAAGTCATTTGTTCTCTGCAAACAAGACAATTCATGGATTCTTTTTACAACCTAGATAATTAGCGGTAGGATGAGAGGAGGATTAAATCGATGACGAAGGTTTGTCTGGAGCATACAGAAAAAATCATTTATGTTTCTCGTGTGGGTGGCTTTTAATAAATACAGCTGTCTTTGTTCACTGCACATCTTCATTCGGTACAGCCTATATTATTATAGTGATAATGAAAACTTAAAAAGCATTGACTTCAATTGAGTGCAAAAGCTTCTTCAGTTAGGAGTCGCACTGTAATGACTTTCTGTCTCAAACCCATTTCTTAATCAGTTTTAGAGTAAAGGCTGTTGTTTGCGAGGTCAGAGCCCTGTGGTGACCTGTGTGACCTCCGAGTTGAGGTCGTCGTTGGTTACGCCACCACAACAGCGAGAGTCCACCGACGACCCCTCCAAGGCTAGTCATACCTGCAGAGAGGAGTTGAAGAAGAGAAAGTATCTTTATGTTATGTCGTATACAGGATGTACTGTATATGCACTCTTGCTTGCATGTCTGTTCACAGCCAGAATGCTAAATTGCAGATTTATATCACTTCCTTGTCTGTATGGTCAATTTGAATCTGCAGTCTTAGCTTAGCATATAAACTGAAAATAGCGTCGCTCTCTGTAAATGTAAAACGGTCCTCCAAAAAAATCAAAGTGTTGTTTTATGTGCCGGGCTATTCCTTAGCCAGAAGAATTGGCTTTGGTTCAGTGTCTTCGGTGCTTAATTGCTACTATAAGTCTTAATCTAAGCTAAGCTAACAGCATATTCCCTGATCAGATATGAGAGTAGTATCGATCTTCTCATTTTACCCTTTGAATTAAACAACTAAGCGTATTTTTGAAACGGCCTGTAGTGGTGTATGAACACACGGACACTGTTTACCTGTTGATTGGACCTATCTCCCGTGTTTGCGCTGTTGTGGGAGCGCTGTGGGAGCTTGCGGCTGGTTAATCCGGTCCGGGACGAGTTCTGCATCTCCACCACAGAGGGACTCGGGGTGCAGAACTCACGGAAACAACGCTTGAAGTTCTCATCCAGGTAGCCGTAAAGGACTGGGTTCAGACTACTGCAGAGAGCAGAAACAATGTCACAGTTTAACAATAGAAAATACCGCTCAATTATCTCCTTTATGAAAAGTACAAGGGCACTTTACTCATTCTATAAAACCTTGTATCATTAAAGGTACAACGCTGAATAGTCTATTCCATTTTTTCTCGAATCTTTTTCTTAAAGGTCACCTATTCTGCAAAATCCACTTTTTAATGTCTTTTATACATAAACACGTGTCCCCTCTTTTCCTCATGTCTGTTATACATAAACACGTGTCCCCTCTTTTCCTCATGTCTGTTATACATAAACATGTTTTCCCTCTGTGGAAAGAGATTCTGAAAGTTTCAGGAAAAAAGATTCTCTCTTTTTGTCCTGATCCATTTATATAAAAACCTGTCGGAAAACGAGCTGATCAGATTTTGGCCACTTTATGATGTCATAACGATTGTTTGTCTTGTGTAACCATTAGCCAATAACCAACCAAGGTAACCCCCCACCCCCCCACCATTGTGTTCTTTTTAACCAAATATCTCTCAGAGGGGCGTGGGGAGTGGCTCCTTATTTTCATCTAAAGTCAGCAATTTTGAAACAGGGCTGAAACAGAGGGGATTATGGGATGCTGCAATGATCTGTTTGGTGTTTGGAGCCATGTTTCGTATATATCTGAGACCTATAATATATTGATGAAAAACCGTATAATAGGGGACCTTTAAGTTGAGCATCATTTATCAATCTTACTAAGGCTTTATTGATTTCCCCATTTTTTTATACATTCACACAAGGACTAATAGTTGTATTATTACAGTGAATATATGTATCCAAAGCTATTATGGGGTGCTTACCTGTTGGTGTAGCCCAAGGCAATGCAGAAATGCCAGGTGATGGTCTGCAGCGTGGAGCTGGGGATGTTGATCAGAGCCGTGATGATGACAAAGATGTGGATAGGGGTCCAGCATACAATGAAGACGGCAACCACCACGAGGACCATGCGCGTGATCCGACGCAGGTTCCTGTCCTTCTCCTGTTTGTGAAGAAGGGTTTTGTGTTGGGGAATAAGTGGTGGGGGAAAGAGGAAGGAGGACAAAGAGGAAAGTAGGAGTAAGAGACGAGGTAGTGAAGAGAATAATGATGGGGGAAGGACAGTGAAGTGGAGGATTGGTAAAGCAGAAATGGTGAGAGAGGAATGAGAGTAGAGGTAAAGAGGAGAGAAAAGATAAAAAGCATGATGGAAAGAAAGAAAAGTGGTCATGAAAGTGCAATGGTGGCTGAAGGGTAGGAACAAATCATATACCTCCACTTTGATATCCCATTTTCCATTTCTGTAAATACATCTTCGCTTGAATGTGCTCATGTTTTACCTCCAGCATTTGGTACATTTTCTCAAAATTACTGTTGTTGGGTCATTTCTTCTTCTACTGCAATGAATTAAAACTGCACCACAACCTCAGGCTTAAGTTGTTTTTCCCTAATTGCTTTCTCTTGAAAACATTGCGTGTACCACATTTGTATGCAAGCTCTGGGCAGCCTTGCACTTTGTTTCATTGCTCTGAAAGCTAAGCTATTTAGTTATTGTCTAAATAGCGTAGGCAATGTAGACAAAAGCTCCTCAATTCTCATTTGCATGTGATTAAAACATACGTGTGATACTCACAGTATGCACTTATTTCGTATCCAATGTAAAAGAAAACAGATTTGTGTTAACCTGGGAGCCCGACAGCATGCGGACACTCTTCAGCCGGAGGATCATGAGGCCGTAGCAGACGGTGATGATGAGGACGGGCATGATGAAGGCAAAGATGAACACGCAGATCTTCAGCAGAGTTTCCCAATACCAGGGGGGGTGAGGGAATATCAGCTTGCAGTCGACAATGCTGGAGGCTGCGCAGGGTGAGGAGACACACACACACACACACACACACACACACACACACACACACACCCCACACACACACACACACACACACACACACACACACACACACACACACACACACACACACACACACACACACACACACACACACATACATACATGAGCACAGTGGAACTTCCACATAAGAAATTTCACAAGAGGTGTCAACCCTTTTTTCACTAACAATTGCGTTTTTGTAAAAGTTAATAACAGTATTTAGGGCTTATGATTAATTGATCAATAATTACCCCAAAAAATGTCCTTGAATGTTGAAGGTGACTTGTTTAATATGCTTGTTTTTTTAGACGAATAATGAGAAACAAGATATTAAGTTAATGAAATAAAAAAGGTAGATGCATTAAATCATCATATTTTAGTGGCTGGAACCGGTTAATTTTTAATAGGAATTTGAAATACCTCTTTTTCTGGTTATTTGTATTGAAAGTGAATATATAAACTTCATGATACCTCAACCATGAAGCGAATAATCCCTTTAAGTGTCCAAAAGTGTTGCATTTAATTCCCTATCTCTCTACCTACTTTTTCTGTCATCTCTTTAAAAAAAGGCATAAAAACACCACTGTCAGGTCTGAAAACGTTCTTTTGTGGCACTAAAAAACAACATCTTTAAGCAGCACACAGGGTTGCAACCTCACCGAGTCAGTAAATCTCTCGCCACCCTCTTTTCCCCAAACACACTTTAACTATTCCATTCGCAATTTTCATCTCCATTACCTCTGCAATTACACGGAGACACCGTCAGAGAAGCCTGGCTATGCAGGTAGCCTATTGTCTATGCAGACACTTCGATGGGTCTCCAGCCAGGCAAAGCATTAATTGGTTCTTTTGTGCAATTAGAAAGAAAACCTGAAGCAATTCTTCTGGTTTGTCTCCTTTTTATAAAGCCTGCTGCAGTAGGCCTACATAAATGCTCTTTAAAGCTGGAATGCAGAAGTAAACTTAATTTGTTTTCTTCCTGTGTTGTGCCTGCATTTGTTTGCAAGACCTTATGGAACTCATCCTCTACCAAGTAAAGACGGAGATAAATGAAATGAGTTATTCTCGGTTGCTACTTCAGATTTGTATGCTACTTTTCGAGCTTAACACATTGTTGTTGTTAGCTTCTAGGACATTTCTAGGAGAGCTTATTTTATCTACGTATTGTAGTTGTTACAAAGGGTATACAGTTTATGTACTCATGCGTCACATACTGAATGTTTATGTACAATATAAACACAATTCCTCCTGCAGTGTAGGTACAATAGTTGCTTGTGTGTGTCATGCTTACGAGTGACGGCAGTGGAGGCCATGAACATTACGGGCAGCCCGATGGCCGAGGAGAGGATCCAGTTGCAGACGTTGACGATCTTGGCGTTTCGCGGCGTTCTGAAGTCGAGCGCTTTGACCGGGTGGCACACAGCGACGTATCGGTCGATGCTCATGGTGGTGAGCGTGAAGATGGAGGTGAACATGTTGTAGTAGTCGATGGACATCACCATCTTGCACAGTATGTTTCCAAACGGCCAGGTGCCCATCAGGTAGTTGACGCTCTGGAAGGGTAACGTGCTGGTGACCAGGGCGTCGGCCAGAGCCAGGTTGAAGATGTAGATGTTGGTGGCGGTCTTCATTTTAGTGTATCTGCACACAAATGGTAGATTGATTATGAAACTTTGGACTAAACTGCACAGACCTGTAAAACAACTTATACTGCTATTACTATTACTGACTGCATCATCCTGGTTGCTTAGTATTTGATGGTCTTTGCAATCATTATACGTTTCTTTGTGTGTTTGTTGTCCGTGATTCCTAGTCTTTTTGAAGTCTTCAATCTTTGAAGTGTGTCTCTGCACACATTTCTCTGAGTAGTCATTTGAGTCTTTTTGTAGTCATTTTGTGTTGGGGTTGCATTTGTATTTATATATACTCTCAGTCATCATTTTGAGTGTCTTTTCAGTCATTTTGTGAGTCTTTATGTTTCTCCGTAGTTGTTTTTCTACTCTGCAGTCGTCTCTTTGTCAACATTTTCATCTTAGAAGTGATTAAACTTTCATTTTCATTTTTCATTTCAATCTTTATTTCGAACAGATTAAAAAAATAACAAATAAAAAAGAACAAATGTGAAAAACAGAATACAGTATTGTTAAAATACAGTATTTATCCACATTATCATGATAATATTTATATATTCAACAAAAAGTCTTCATATTAATAATAATAATAAAAAATGTGTCTGAAAGGGAGTAAGAGGAAGCAAATGCTTATTAATTCCCACCCCTTACTTGATCAATGATTGTCTTTTAAATCATTATGCAAGTTATTCCTACTTACATTGACATTTATATATACATATACAGTAATTTCTCATCTTCAATCACCTTCAATCTCTTAGTCCTGTAGGTTCTCTTTGTACCAATATCTTAATGTAGTCATTGAGTCTTTTAGTATACATTTAGTCTCCTTTACTCATCTCCTGTGTCTTTGCAAATGTATTGTGAATATCCTCTTAGTTTCTGTGTAGTAGAAACATACGGGATCAAGACATCCTTTGTTTTAACAAAGCTCTTTCCCTTTTTTAACAGGAACAGTCACTTCACATAAATGCTCTGGCTCCCTTAGGGCTGATGGACCATTCAATGATGAACTCATGACATAAAATCAGTAAGATGTACAAAAGAGTGTATTTAGTTGGTTCAGTTTGAGTGAAAGCATTCGCAAACCATCATTTGTGTCTCCTTGCCGCATAATGGGATTTTGATATTGTTGCTGACTGAACCTTTTCGAGACTAATTGAAACATCAATTGAGAAATGTCTCCTCCTTCCTAAACAAACAAAACATTCAATTATCTATAAGTGAATTATCTCCAGTGTAAACAGGGCTGATGCAACATCTATTGAAACAACAGAATCATTAAATTGTGAGTGTTACTATTGATATATGTGTTACGGCACAGATTTCCTTTAGTTGATTTACCCTAAGCAAAAATATGTAAATGAATCATCTTATTTGTAAACACAAGTAGAACTTAATTTAATGAAAAAAAGCACTTCTGGAAATAAAAAACTGTAAATAAAGGAGATGGCACTACAAGGACACAAGTAAAGTGCCAAGAAATTATTTAAATATGTTCAGTTTGTTTCTGGACAGCAAAAGCTTCAATCATTCAACGCCTGACTTTTGAGCACCATTTGCAAGATTTGAATACACAGCCAAAATTACACTTACTTTCGAGTGCGCTAGAATTTGAAAGTACACAACCGGAAAAAATCTGCCTCTTCCTTCAGACTTCCTTACAGAGCCCCTCCTCCAACACCCACGAACGCGCATATGACCAATGAGGGCACGAGATAAGTTTGTGCACAGATGGAAGGCTGACAGGCAGGTAGGCCATCCAGTTATTTTAGCCGGGCCGGCTAAAATGATTGGTCGTGCTATCAGGATGTTAAGAGCATTCCATGGAATATAACAAAAATTGTTTCTGAAATAAATTACATACCCCACCTTTAAGCTTTATTTATTTATATAGTGCCTTTTGTGCAAATGTACAAGGTGCTTGACAATACAATGTAACAGTAAAGTGAACACAACCCATCAAAACGGGTGGAAAACAGAATATATTTCAGTGGATTAAGATACAAATAAAGTCAAGGTTACATTTTTTTGTACAGATTGTGATGAACTTAGCATTTATGGGAGGCTGTTCTGAGAGGAGGATCAGAGACACTAAGTGCTGCCCCCCCCCCCATGTCCAAAGTCATTTAACTCATAATCATTTAACGCTAGTGTCAGAAGACCAGAGGGATTTAGGAGGACCATTTATTTGGAGCATGGCCGACAAGTATTCGATGGCCTATGTACGTCAACAGGAGGTGCCTTTTTGGAGCTTGACAGAGTATTCTGGGATGTTTTGTGAATAATTCAGACCCCATGCATCAGCTACCAGCTCATTTTAGGATAGAACACTTTTGGACTACAGGAGCCCCACAGTCCTTGAAGTCTGAAAAGATATCTCAAAGAAATAACTTCCCTTAGGGCTTTCCAGAGCATAATGTCTTAAAAGCTTGAGTTCAGATAAATAAATGAAGAGGTTAATATTGACTGAAAGAACAAACCTGTCGCTCCTCTACTTATCCTACTCAAAAACCTGCAGTCGCTTTTACTTTCTATCTTAATGAAGGGGTGATCAAATAGGTCTCAGGGACAGTCTCTTTATGTAGTATATCACTATATGGACATCATTACGGTCAACATTGTGCAGAGAAAAGAGGTTGTTCAAAGAGTGCAGAGGATGCTGTGGTGTTTATATGAAACAGGAGAACGAGCGTACAGCCATTAGCGCTGAGGATGGAAGACAGACGATGGAAAGGCTCTTCTGTTTATGTCTCTGGTAACAAAGGAATTATGTTATTGTTGGCTGTCCACATAGCAATGACACGTGGGTGGAGCTGGAAAACGTCAAAAAAAGGTCTAAAAGCATCTTGCACATCAAAACCTGTAGATTAAACTAAATGTGTAATAAATATTCAAATGTTTTCTCAGATAAACAAATGGCATGCAAAGTCATGAATATGTATTAATGCTGTTTCTCTCAGCACAGAGACAGGCTTTTAATGTGAGAGTGATTTCTATGGTGGGTTTCCCCAGTGAGGTCAGTCTGCCTGCGAGCTATCATAGAGCTCCACAGACGACTAAGACAAAATGTTCTCGTGCCCAACATGTAGAAAAAGGTTCTTTAATGTAATTTCCAAGGCTCAACAGTAATCATACCTCGTAATCCAATGCCCTTAGAAACTGCCATGATGTTATTGAGTTAATCTGTACACACAAAGTGACAATGATACAGTACACCCTTTGGCCTTGGTTTATTAAGCCCTAACTGTCCCTCTGTCTCGAGGTAGTTCACTCCTGATCTGTTGCAGCCCTCGCTTCAATAATCTTAAATCCTCTTAACAACCAGAGATGACAGTGAGTTCATTAAATTCTGATTAAATTTAACACAGACAGCTTAGTGTGTTTGTTATTTCAGGCTTTATTTGAGCGGGGACCGATGAGACACCTGGAGATACAGTAAGAGCTGTCCCACTGCACTGAGCTGTGTGCTGCTGGTGTTTTCCAACATCCCCTTATTGACTTTGAGGCTGTCGTTAATATGGCTGCTTGTGTTTCTCCAGTGTGTTGTATGTCTTAGGCTTACTGTGTACGTCCACATCCTGAAATTAACTAAATGAGGTGTTGTATTAATGAGTTTTCATATTTGAGTCATTCCTCGCCCTTGAGGTTTTGTCACACTGATTGCCACATTATTGTCAGCATGCTTTGATTATATAATAGCAACATTTCTTGCACCCTTTATTAATCTACATTTCTGAAACCTGATGTATATCCAAAAATCAATAAGTATAAATGTACAGAAGAATTGACAATTTACTTCCTAACATGTTTTTGTTGGCATATTATGTTATTATAGGTCATTTTTCCAGCCTTACACTATTGTGTGCAATAAAGACTAAGAAATATTTAATTCATTAACCGTACCCACACTGGTAGAAGTTGCTGTGCCAGGTATAAAACGTGGTGTATTTGGTAACATCTTTGTGTATATTTTTTTGGATGTAAATGGTCTGCAAAGGCTAAATTCCCAATTGGACTCCTTTTATTAACTACATCCGTATCATAGTGACATCAATATGTAACACTTGCTCTTCACTGGCTAGCGCTCCAGCACATTGTAAGTGATGGGGGCAAAGGGGTGGGACATCCAATCAAAACAAAGCTGTCCAGCTAACCAATCAGAGCAAACTGGGCTAGCGTTGTATCCTTCCCACCATCTCTATGGGTGCGTCTCACTTCTCTTATTTTTAATTTCCTTGCTCCTCGGTCTCAGTATTAGCGGAAGCTGATTTGTCTGCGCCATCTTGAGTAGCGTCCCAGTGGCCTTATTTTTGCCGGAGGATCGAGGACCGAGGACCGATAATGGACGAGCGATAATGGAGGAACCACCAGACCATCCTCCGGTGAAATCCTCAGACACTCGCCCGCCCCCTTACTGTGTACCGCTCACTGATTGGACGATGCAGCGCATGCACTGATCTGGCTGCTGTCAGACGATCAGCTGTGCAGCGTCATCACAAACGGGCGTCGCTTCACGTGACGCTCCGGCGCAAGGAAACCACGAGAAGCAGGGAAATGAGTTTTAAGAGCAATGGGATGTCGTTTCCACCGGAGCGTCACGTGAAGCAACGTCCATTTGTGATGACTCCGCACAGCTGATCGTCTGACAGCAGCCAGATCAGTGCATGCGCTGCATCGTCCAATCAGTGAGCGGTACACAATAAGGGGGCGGGGCGAGTGTCTGAGGATTTCACCGGAGGATGGTCTTGTAGTTCCTTGATTATCGCTCCTCGATCCTCCGGGAAAAATAAGGCCACTGGGACGGTACTCAAGATGGCGCAGACAAATCAACTTCCGGTGATACCGAGCCCGAGGAGCGAGGAAATTAAAAATAAGAGAAGTGAGACGCACCCTCTGTCTTAACAGCATCATTGAATAGTGATGGGAATTACGACTCTTTTAAGGGAGCTGGATCTTATGGGCTCCGTTCCTTTCCGAGAGTC